TATATAATAATTTAAAACAAATGACCAGAACTTTTGTGGCCTTCTTGCCATAAATAAGAAAAAACTGGCAGAATACATGAAATAAGTGTTTTCAGATGTCAGAATAGACAGTGCAGGACTACAATCTCTAAGAAGCCGGGAGGAGAGAGGCAATGAGGTGAGCCATGCAACTGTCTCAGGTTTCTGAAAGGAGGAATTTACCAGAATGCATTGCAGGGAAGGAGAGATGAAATAAGCACTATGATCTGAGCTGAGGAAGCAGAGACTAGTTTATGCCTACTGAGGAGGCTCTAGAATTTGTGGAAATTTGGAGAAAAAAGGAGCTGCAGATAAAAGGAGCACCACAAATATGCACAGCAATCCCTTTGGATTTGTGACCCAATACTAAAGGAACAAGAAAGTTCAGGGAACCAAGCAAAGAATCAATACTAAAGAAATAACTATTACCAAAGAAACAGCCACCATCGCACAGCTGTCAGCAGAACAACTACTTGAACAACAACCTCTTGAATGTTGAGAGATGTTCGAGCCGTGACCAGATCGAGTGGACAAACCCTGTTAATACACCAAGTAGAGACCCCAGCAAAGCCACACCTTACAATCAGGGCTAATCTAGCCCTAGAATAAAGGCCACTCTAAACATTTGCTAACAAAGCTTTAAAAGTCACAAAATGGGGCGCTTTGGTGGCTCAGTTGGTTAAGCGACTGCCTTCGGCTCAGGTCATGATCCTGGAGTCCCTGGATCGAGTCCCACATTGGGCTCCCTGCTCAGCAGGGAGTCTGCTTTGCCCTCTGACCCTATCCCCTCTCATGTGTTCTCTCTCATTCTCTCTCTCTCAAATAAATAAATAAAATCTTTAAAAAAAATAAATAAATAAAATAAAATAAAATAAAAGTCACAAAATGATCAACTGAATGTGAAAGTAAATTAATTGTCTGCCAGAAGAAAATGTTATTAATGAAGACTACAAAATCCCAAGAGTCAATAATGTAGCAACCATAATGTCCAGTACACAATAAAAAAAAATACTACACATATGAAGAACCAGGAAAATGTAACTCTGACCAGGAGAATATTTAGTCAATAGAAAAATGACCCAAAAATTAGAGATGATGGAATTTTAAATAGCTACCATAGATAATGTTCAGGAATTTAAAGAAACATACATACAATGATGTAATAAGTAGTGAATTGGAATAAGGTAATAAAAACTAGACGAAAAAAATCAAATGAAAATTCTAGAGCTAAAAATACAATATTTGAAATGTAAAATTCACTAGAAGGATGTGACAGCAATTAGACACTGTAGAAGAGAAATCCAAGAACATTAAGCAGTCAATAGAAAATATATATTGTAGCACAGAATAAATACAAACAGACAGGGAGGAGGAATAAAAAAGAAAAAAGTTTCAGTGACCTGTGGGGGCAGTATCAAGTGGTTTTACATATGTATATTTGGAGCAATAGGAAGAAAGGAGGGAGGAGAGAGAAATGAACAAAAAATATTACAAGTGGGACATCTGGGTGGCTCAGTCGTTTAAGCGTCTGACTCTTGGTTTCAGCTCAAGTCATGATCTCATCGGTCATGGGATCAAGTCCTGTGTGAGGCTCTGCCCTCCGCAGGGGAGTCTGCTTGAAGATTCTCCCTCTGCCACTCCCCTCCCCCACACTTGCACATGCGTGCTCTTTCTCTCTCTCTCTAAAATAAATATTTTAAAAAATATTACAAGAAATAATGGTTGAAAATGTTTCATTGGTTGAAATGTTACTAAAAAACATAAGCACATAGATTTAAGAAAAAAAAACTAAACCAACTCAGGATATTCCACAAAAACAAAAGTCTCAGAAGCAAAGCATGAAAAACTACCCAAAGACTCTCAACCGAATCAAATTGCTAAAACTGAATAACAAAAGTTAAAAAGTATCCAGGGAAAAGTTAGTTACATTATGCTTACAGGAGGAGCAAGAAAAATGATGGTGTACTTCTCATCAGAAATAATACAAACCAGAAGCTAATGGAGATATTTATTTTTTTATTATGTTATGTTAATCACCATACAGTACATCATTAGTTTTTGATGTAGTGTTCAAAGATTCATTGTTAGTGTTGAAAGAGAAGGACTGTAAACCTAGAAATCTATGTCACATAAAATGATCTTTCAAAAGTGAGGATAAAATAAAGAAATCTAGAGACATGGGAATGCTGGGCTCAATCACTGTCAGTAGAACTGCATTACAAGAAACCTTAAAGGAACCTTAAGTGTGAACAGAGATAGTTCACACTTAAACTCTTCAAACCTTGAAGTACTTCCTTCAAGATTCCTCGAATTACTCCAAGAAATGAAAAGTGCCAGAAATCGTAAAAAGTGGACAGGTAGAAAAGACACTTTTTTATTTCTTGATTTCTTTGAAAGATAATAGACTTTAAAGCAAAAATAATAACTATATGGTAGAGTTTATAAATCATAGAAATGAAATCTATTATAAAAGAGGTAAAATGGAAAAAAACTTTACAGATGAAGTGGTGTAAGATTATTTGAAGATAGTCTGTGATGGGATACATATATACATATTGTACACTCTAAAATATAGTTAATAAGACAATAGAGGAAATAAAATATAAAAAATAGTCATTTAAAGCTTTAAAAAATAAAGAACAGATAGAATAAATAAAACACAAATAACAAGACAGTAGAGTTAAACCAACCGTATGCCAATAAATACTTTAGATGTAAATGGACTAAACACGACATTTAAGTGACAGAAATTTTCAGATTTAATCCATATATGTTTAATTTCAATGAAATTTAAAAAAATAAACAAAAACAGTATGAAATATTGTCATGTTAAACACAATTTTATTGTTAGGTAAGAATAAATTGATGGATGAACAGATAAACAAAATAAAGTATATCCATATAATATTCAGCCTTAAAAAGAATGGAAATTCTGACATATACTACAACATGGATGAAACCTGAAGACATGATGCTAAGTGAAATAAGCCAGACACAGAAAGACAAATACTGTATAATCCACTTATATGAGATACATCAAGTAGTCAAATTCACAGAGACAGAAAGTGGAATGGTGGCTGCCAGGGACTGGGGACTGACGGGGGAGAGTTACTGTTCAATAGATAGAAAGTTTCAGTTGTGGAAGATGAAGAAGTTCTGGGGATGGATGGTGGTGATGGTTGTACAATCTACCATGATGGGTACTTAATGCCAGAAAACTGAACACTTAAAAATGGTTACAATGATATAGTGCTGATAGTTCACACTTAAAAAGCAAAATGGAAAATTACCAACCAGGTGACACTGTCACATAGACCTAAAGTCCCCCTTAGAATATTTTCTGACAGAATTAAAATCAATTCAGATGGTTAACTGCACTCAGCCAGACCTGCCAAGGGGGCAGAAGATAAAGGAGGAAATGTGTATACATATAGCAGGGATGATTTGGAAGTTAGATTCTGACTTCCAAATGTCTCATGACTAGAGCTTATAGTGTTCAACCTTTCATGAAAGGCCTGTGACCAGAGTACTAAGAAGAGGTCAGGCAGGAGGAGGGCAGCCTTGGGGGTTACCCCTGCAATAGGAAATAGCGGTGCGGGGAAGAGAGAAGCAAAAGAGCAAAGCAAGTCAGGGAGACAAAACATGATTTCAGCAGACTGCTGCTGAATAGCATACACCACAGAGTTTTCCACAGAGCAGATCATAAAGACAATGATGACTGACAACCTGGCAACATAAAGGGGAAAAACAGCCCACACCGAAGAGAGGAAAGATGGAGGGACCAATGCATACTTCTGAGTCTTATTCATAATGCAGGCTTTACCAGTGCTTTGAAAACCATTCCCACAGCAATGAGAAGCTCAAAAACCATCAGCCACCTTACCTGGGAAAGGCACAAAGGCATGTCGCATGCTGACTGGAAATGGCATTCCTCTGTCTGAGGCTCTCTCCTCCATCTGTGCTTGGTGTCCAGGGTTCAGGCCATAGCTCTTCTTACCTCTTCCTCTGTCAGGCAAACAACATCAGCAGCTGGACATGAAACAGTCTCAAATATATGAAAAAGGTCTCATTTTTCAGTAAAATCAATAGTTCCATCTAGGAAACTTAAGAAGCTTTTCATTTGAAACTCACTTTAAAACTTAACAAAGATACTAGATTTTCTTTTTTAGCAAACATTCAATTAAACACGAAGTAAGGCATTTCTGTAACAGCTTCTGCCACAAACTGCTTCTGAAACAATTACAGACATTTAGCTCAAATCAACAAATCTTTTTGACCATATCTAATATAAATTATCTATGCTTTTTCTTCCCATAATGTGTATTTGGGGAAGACAGAAGGGGAGAGATGTTCCTGACATAGTTAAACTCTTCCTTTTAGCATTTGAGTTCGAAAGGCACATCGTGCTGATTGATTTAATTAGTGGCCCAGGTTTTCAGTCTTTCACCATCAACAAGCTTCTTTATAGACAGACTCAGGATTTTAAATGGATAGCGTGTATGCCCAGAACAGAAAATGAAACTAACTTCATTACTTTATCCAATAGGCTCGTTTTGAGCCATTCATACTCATAAAAGTATATTAACACAAATACAGAGAAATAGCCTCTACCTGCTCATGGGAAGTAGGCGTTTGCCTAGGGCTTGGGAAGGTGGGCTCTCCCCTACTAGTGTTGGCATTTTGATCTCAAAATCTCTTGGCACATTCTGAATATTTGGTTCTGTAAAGGTTATTCGTCCTAAAATCAAACAGAATGAAGACAGAAAATTGAGGGGGTTAGAGGGGGATCTGACATTTATTTTCACAGTAATTGCATTTCTGAATTACGCATTTTCTACTATTGCTAATTTATATTTAAATATTTTTCATTATGTTCATGCATCTAACAATGATAAAATAAGTACAAGACCAATCCTAATGTAAGTGAATATATGAGTCAACTGCAATAGAATGTTTTACATTAACCTAGCTCTCTAGAAAACAAGCCCATGATAAGAAGGAATTTGATAAGCTGAACTCGTCCTGTGCTAAAATGAATACCAGATATCAGCACTATATGAATGTTAGCAGTGGTATTAATGAGTAAAGACTAATCAAATGGATCCTAGGAGAAATGACTGTCAAAACCTTCAAACCCAGGAATGCACAAGACACAGAGAGAGGATCTGAAGCAGAAGAGCAACTGACTGCTGAAAAGGGACAACCGGGGCCCAAGGAGCCAGCTAATCTGTAGGAGATGGAGTAGTGAGACGTGGTGACTGGAACATCACTCACTAGACATCACCTGGCTGCTTTTCTGCATCACCATCCTCACTCATCAAGAGAACCACCGACAAAGCTGGAGACTAGAATCAGGATGTTAATGAACTTTCTAGGAAAGAGAAAGCTATTTAATGCTTATAACTTTTATTTCCCCCAAATATTTTGCAGTTTATTTGTTTACTTATTGGTTGAATTTTTCTGAAACACATAAGCATTATTCAAAAAAAGTCTGGGTCATTGATGTTGTTATTGCAGTTTTTACATATATACATATATGTACATATATACATATATAGTTTTATAAAATCTTGTTTTATAATATACTCTTCATTGTAATGGGCTCTCTACCAGCTAGTATATATAATTTCGTCTTCTTTTGATGAGTCAGACATTTTAAGTACTTCAGATATTCTTTTTCTGAACAAACCCCTGATATATGTCCTTGTTATTTAGCTTTTAAGAAAAATTAGTGCTCAATGAATGGCAGATATCAATATACTTATTACCATTACCATTAATATACTTATTACCATTAAATGGCCTGCTCAATGAGAAAGTCTCTTGCTACCTCAGCATACTATCTTCTTTTCGATAATAATATTTAATATTTAATATTCACGTCTATTGTTTGAATTAATGAGGCTAACACTGGCAGACAAACAAGATGGCAAAAATAGATTATAAAACATGAATGTAGCTTCATGGAGGTGAATTCTAATAATGAAATGGCTTTGCTATGCTTAGGTAAGTTTGTATTTCTAAAATATTCTTTAAATGTAGGCATAGTATGGTGAAAACCAATCGACAAAAAAGGAATTGATTACTTTCTATTTTATAAGCAACAGATAAATGCAACACCTTTAGAAACTCTAGGCTGATTTTGGTTTTTCACCAACAAGGATTTATTTTACGTAAGTTTACATCATTAGCATATGTCTCAAAATGAAATTTAAACACCAACAGGGCAAGAAATGGCTAGGGTGAACTAAGAGGTTAGCTAAATACGGAAGAAGGAAAAGAATTTGTTTAGAACAGGGAATAAACGTGCACAGAAAAAAGGCAGCTCATCCTGGTGCCTCCGTCTGTAAAAACAGCAACAACCGGTAAGGAGCTCGCACAAAGTGCCCTGCACTATTCTAAACACTTTAAATGTATTAGCCTATTTAATCCTCAGCATGCCCTGGTGAAGTAAGACTATTATTACTGTGTTTTACACATGAGGACACTCAGGCACAAAGCTACCTTGAATAAAGATTTAAACCCGTAAAAGTCAGATAGCAAAACCCACATTCTATACCACCAACCTAAACTGTCTCCCCGATGAGATTTAATGCTGCCCTTTCTTCCAATGCACATTGCATTTCGCAGATATTTAGTTTTGCACTGCCTAGCACAAGAATGATTTTTTCCTTTCTAGATTACTCATACCTATCCCAAAATTGCTACAAGACACCCAAAGGACTCTACAGCTCTTTTCTGGTTAAGTAAAATAAGACACTCATCTATTATACAGATGCCCCCCAGCATTACCTAGATTCATCTTGGGGAGAATCTTAAGAGGTTTGGGAGAGGGCTAGGACTGAAATTAGATAAAATGACTGATTCAAATATTAATCTAAAGTACAGTCTCAGACATTCCAGTTACTCTATATAGTACTTGAAAGCTGGAACTCTATCTTACTAAATCTCATCTCTGTAACTAGTATCCATCTATATTTTGGATGTAGTATGTGTTTCATAAATGCTTATGAAACTTCACAGAATCCAATGATTAACACTTGAATTCCTTGGTCACCTTGAGCAAATATTATATATGAAAAGTTTTCTTTCAAAATTGGATATTATTCATATTTAAGATTTCTTATTACCTGTAGCAGTGTGTGATTGTGATACAGGATAGATTCTTTCCATTCCAAGAAAAGGATTCAGACGCTTTTCCCGCTGCAGAGGAAAGACCACTTTGGTAATAGCATTAGTGATTCTTCTCCACTCTAATATCAAACCTGGTAAAGGATGCAATGCCCTTAATTTATTTAAAACATCCTGCCAAAGAAATATAATGAAGTAAGATCAGATTCCATAGGAAACTAGGCTCTCTTTTAGGTAAATAATATAATCTCAAAATTAAATTTGATAACTCCTATATCTACAACTCAAAATTACTGTTTGGGTTTTTGGCAATCACCATAATGATAAAACTATGATAACTATAGATGGTAAAATGCAAACATGTTAATGCTGAGTAATATCAATTTAGATCTACCTTAAAACAAATCAGTGTCAATTTAGCAAGGTACTATAACTGCCTTCCCTCACCCCACCCAAGAATCTGTATCATGTCTTTCCTTTGTCTATATTTTCCTCCTCTATTCTCATGTGATTGTAAGTTTCTCATGGTTTTTTTTCCTTTTGCCCTAATACTTTAATCATTTCCATATCAAGAAATGCAGAAGACATTAATCTTTAAAACTTTGAACTTTCCATGCTAGAGTTTTGGTAAACTGCTAAGAAATAGGAACTTGTGAAGTTAGAGGGCCAGTGAGATAAAACAAAAAGTTTTGTTACAGAATGAAACTGTGGAAACTTCCCTAGAGCAGGCAAGTCATAGTTAATGATAGTAGGGTCAAAATTCTACAGAATGGCAACTTGGATTCTCTTTCCATGGCTATTATGGTGGTATTTTCTACCCTTATTATTCCACTGAAAATTCATTCAGTAAAAATGTAACAATAAGCCTTTTCTCTCTTCTCTCCCAAGCATACAGTTCCCATGGATTGTAATTTGCAATTTTACTTTGAAATTAGATTAGATTCTTTTTTTTTTTTTTAAAGATTTTATTTATTTGACAGAGAGATAGAAGAGCACAAGCAGAGGGAGTGGCAGAGGGAGAGGGAGAAGCAGGCTCTGCACTGAGCAGGGAACCCGATGCGGGACTCGATCCCAGGACCCTGAGATCATGACCTGAGCCGAAGGCAGACGCTTAACCATCTGAGCCACCCAGGCGCCCAGTAGATTAGATTCTTAAACTCATGGAGAACTTACTATTTTGCTCTATAATTGAAAAAAATGTTTTATTTGTAATGGCTGGGTTTTTTCCTTTTTTAATTCTTCCACACCTTTATCCATGCTCCTATACTATACAAATTATATTATACTTGAAGTCCAAGAGTAGCGGATGTCAGTAATTAAATAATGTCTATAGGTCTGAGTTCATAAACCATTATACTGTTTTAATAATAGGAAGGACACAACTGCTAGATTAGATTTTGGTCCAGATTTTCCATGATGGAATGTCTCCACAGTTTTGGCAGGGAGCCGAACCACAAACCAATCTGTTTTTATCTGGACACATTCAAATGGTGAGCTATGCTGGATCTTGACTTCATCAGCATTCTTTCAAGACACCAAAATGCTAAAAGTAATTCAAATTCTGCCCTGTAACTGTCCCAAAGAGTACCTTACTAGTGCTGTACTGTTTTCCCAGCTTTAGCTTGCGTCCATTGTCATTCCCTCTTCTGGTAGAACCCAAAGTTTTCTTGCTGCTTTGGTTTTTTATTTCTCCATTTGGTGGTAACTTCAATTCCAAAAATAAAACCTGCAATAAATTAATGCTTCTTTAGTCAAGAATCAAATCACAAGCATTGTCATTCACAAAACATTTTTAAGTTATTTGAGAAAATCCACACAATTCAACATGGGTTGGCAGAATTTTTTATAACATATTGAACTATCACATTTAATAAATAATGACAATGAAAATTTGCATGTCAAGTAGGCTATCTATACCCTAATTTAGGCACTATAAGATTAATTCCAGTAATGGGCTTTTTAACAGTCAAGAACACAGGAATGTATACTCTGTGTGCTGAACAAGTGATAAATAAGCTATTGACATTAAGACTTTAGGTTGCTCTGAGGACTGTGAACTCTCCTAAATACCCCTTGATATGGTAACCGACATGGCTGCTCAATCATTTAAGTCTCAGCAAGGGTCAACACGGGAGCCTTTGTGGCTATTATATGATCACAAAAATCAAAGAACACTGAGGTAGAAAGGGATCCAAAAAGCCTTCTACTTCCACCACCATAAGGCTAGGCCCTGTGAGAACCTGGACACAAAAAGTCAGAAAAATATGGCCAACCCAATGTAGCAATCAATAATGACAGCTAAAGTGGCTAATAAGTACCTACTGAAGAAATTAAGCCTACACAGGACAGGAATCCACGTTCTGGGACAGAAGGAATAGCCTATGTATACCTAACCTATACACCAGCTCAATTTATAGGTTTTAAAACTCAGGCAATTCAGAATACTATTTACTACCTCCATTCATTCATTCGTATACATTGAGTGGGCTTTAGTGAACTTTGGATTATTTTCCCACTAATAATCCTAAAAATTAAGATCATTTGCATTCTATTAAAAATCTTTATTGGCCACAAGTTGGGCAAGGGGTAGAAGGAAAGATATGCCTGTGCTTCTGTAGAATAGCAGTGATGATAGAAACAAAGATCTGGTTCTAATTTTACATAGTGGGAATAACTGGAGTCTTAGGTATGAAAGATACTGAGGCTTGCTGTGGATGTTAGTAACGATTTTTCCCAAGAATTGTGTTATATAGGATTGCATGTGTAGGGATCAGGATTATCATATATAATAAATAAAATTATAAGATCCTTAGTTAAATTTGAACTGCACAGGGCATACTTATATTAAAATATTGTTCATTGTTTATCTGAAATTCAAATTTAGCTGAATGTCCTGTATTTTATCAGGTAACTCTAGTACAGATATATCCATACAGATATATGAATGGCAGGATAGGAAAAACAATCAACTGAATAGGAAAATGAAACATTATTTTTTTTAAAGATTTTATTTATTTATCTGAGACAGAGAGAATGAGAGAGAGAGAGCACATGAGAGGGGTGAGGGTCAGAGGGAGAAGCAGGCTCCCTGCCAAGCAGGGAGCCCGATGCGGGACTCGATCCCGGGACTCCAGGATCATGACCTGAGCCGAAGGCAGTCGCTTAACCAACTGAGCCACCCAGGCGCCCATGAAACATTATTTTTAAAGTAATAATAAATCAACAATCCCAGGAAGAGAGACCTATCATAATTAGGACAACTCAAAGATCTCAAGTTACATATTTATAAGCTCTTTATCTTAGATTTCTGTTTTTGGTGAAAACTTCAGAATTAATTGTGAAAACTTCATATAAATTACCTCTCCAGGTTTAAATGAATACATCTGTGAAATGAGGGGGTTGAACTGGATGAGGGCAAGTGCCTCTTGCCCTCCTCAATAAATATTGAGCACTTACTGTGTGTCAGCTGTCACATGCTGCGCGCTTTAACATGTCATCTCATGTCATATGTACAATTCTGTGACACTTCTGAAGTTTACACCAGTTGGAGAAACTTGCTTAAAGTTACATGGCCATAACGTAGAAAAATTAAGAATTAGAACCCATAGTCCTCTAACTCAAAGTCCTTTTTTTTTTCTCTAATTCATGCTTCCCTCTAGACCAGGGATCAGCAAACTTTTCCCAAAAAGGGCCAGATGACAGATATTTTCAGCTTTGCAGGTTTTACTGTCTGTCACAACTTCTCAACTGTGCCATTATAGACCAAAAAGAGCCACAGACAATAAGTAAGTGAACAGGTGTGGCTATACTCCAATGAAATTTTATTTACAAAAATAGGTGGCAGGCCAGATCTGGCCCACAAGCTATAGTTTGCCGATCCCCACTCTAGCCCAGTGCCATCCAAAAGAACTTTTTGCAATAATGAAAGTGTTCCATATTTGCACTCCCCTTTATGGTAGCCACTTACCACATATGGCTATTGAACATTTAAAATGTGGCTAACACAACTAAGGAACTGAATTGGTATATTTTAATTAAGTTAAATTTATTTATTTTTTAAAGATTTTATTTATTTATTTTGTCAGAGACAGCACAAGCAGGGCGAGCAGCAGAGACAGAGGGAAAAGCAGACTCCCTGCTGAGCTAGGAGCCTGATGCAGGCTCAATCCCAGGACTCTGGGATCATGACCTGAATCAGAGGCAGAGGCTTAACCGCCACCCAGGTGTCCCAGTTAATTTAAATTTAAATAGCCACAAGTGGCTAGTGGCTCCTGTATTGGATGGCGCAGCTCTAGATGATTAGTAATATCCTGCCCAGTTCAAAGATTCCACTTAAAATCACCAAGGATTAACTAGTCAATGTGTGAAACTGTTAGATTACCTTAAATATAACTTCCATTTTAAAATGAAGACCTAAGAACAAGCCATTAACATCAAAGGCCTTTTATTCTGGCCTAGAATTTGGTCTAGGCCTATGGCCTTAGTATCTGAATCACAAGGGCATGGATTCCTGCCTATGCCCCAAGCCTACTTGTGCTGAAATCCAGGGATGCTCTGTTTTTCATAAGGTCCCTCTGTAATTTTATGTGCAGTCAGTTGGGTATTGGTTGGGGAGTTCGGAGCTAAAGAACTCAAAGGAAAATATTAAACAAAACAAAACAAAACAAAAAATGGCACTACTGAATTCAATACACATGTACCCTGTGATTTGGAGAAACAAAATTCCTCATTTTTTTTTTAAAGATTTTATTTATTTATTTGAGAGAGAGAGGATGAGAGACAGAGAGCACAAGAGGGAAGAGGGTCAGAGGGAGAAGCAGACCCCCTGCCGAGCAGGGAGCCCAATGTGGGACTCGATCCCGGGACTCCAGGATCATGACCTGAGCCGAAGGCAGTCGCTTAAAACCAACTGAGCCACCCAGGCGCCCCTCATATTTTTAAAACATATAACCCTGTGGCTTAAAAAAGGGGCATTTTTTATGAGTATATGTAACCTTTATTGAGCTTTTACTATGAGATGGGCACTATTCTAAGTGTTTTACATTCATCATTTATTCCTCACAACAACTCTATGAGGTATTTCTATCATAACCCACTTTACTGATGTAGAAATTGAGATACAAAGAGTTAATGTACTGCCCCAAGGTTACAGGGTTAATAAGTGGAGGAGATAGGATTCAAACCCAGGAAGTCTGGCTTGAAAGCCTATGATCTTCACAACATGCTACATTACTGAATTGCATCTACAAGACACCTGAACTTCAATGTTATCAAGTATAAGTACCCACCCTGTATCTGTAACCCTTCTACAACAACCCAACCACCCTTTGTGGAGTGTGGGGAGAGGAAAGAATAGAATGCCAACATTTGAAAATAAAAATAAGAGTAAAGTGTGTCCAAATTTATGTTAAGTTTATAAAAATCTTATTTAGGTTTAAAAAAGCAAACAATCCCAAAAATTCCTTTTTCATTAACAACTGAGAAAAATATCTAATTTTATTTTCCAAAAAAGGATTTTGGGGTAAGGAAGGGGTGAGAGTTCATGAAATTACTAACTTCATGGAGAAACAACTACACTGTTATATAACAACCACTATGGATCTTTTGTTTAACAAACATTCACTGAGTACCTCCACTGTCCTAGGTAAATCTCATGGAGCATACATTCTAGGAGGCTTCTTTACCACCTTCCTATTTCATAAACACAGATATAACTTATAAATTAGAAGCTAGAATACTCTATCTCCAAAGTAATCTGATAACTAAAATTTTTTTAACTGATCTTTGGTGGTTAGGCAAACACATTTAGGAAATACACACACATACACACACACAAAAATAATTATTAACTCTCAAATTCCCCATTCCCATGATACAACCTCAGCGATGTCATCTGAACTGGTGAAGGAAAAACTGTGTCCTGCTAGTTGATAGGCCTGGGTCTCGATTGCATCCAGCTTGGCTTGCATTATGTGTTTCTGACTTTCACATTCTGCAGTACTAAAGCCAATTCCATTTAGCTCTAGCAAGGCCAAGCAATACTGAGAGGGCATTTCCACTTTACAGAAAACATCTGGAAGAAAAAAAGAAAACTAAAACATTAATTCACCAGTTAAGTGACTAGATTAGCATCATCACCTAAACACACATGGAATTTTTCTAAGCAAATTCAGAGATGCTATCCAAGCTATTCTTCAAGATCCAGTCTCCTGAGCAGCACTCTCAGGCCAACAAGGAAAGGCATAAAAGTACTTCCTACTTTTCTACTTCAGCACTAGACTACTACCCTTGTCTACATCGAGAGCAGAAAAACTGGCAATCTTGTGAATAGTCTGGATTACAAGAGGCTGCATTTCTCCCAAGATAATGTTTCAGCTTCTACTCTTGGCAAGAGCAAGAGAGCCAATCTTATTTGCTAAACTGACTATAATGAGTTAATCTCCTGAAATTATTTCCAATATTCCTGGTTCCATGATATGCATGCTTGCACAAAGAACTAAAAATGGAGGTTTCTTATTTTCCAGTGCTCTTACCAAAGAATAAAGAAAAAGATTCCTGAAGTAAGAATCAGAGTATTTTTCTATCTGCTGACACTTCTCAACAGAGTAGTCATTCTATATCAGTTTTTCCAGTACTGTCATTGAAATATTAGTCTCAAAGATACTCTGTGAAAAGGGTGGAGCTGAGAGACACTGCACTGTGAGTTCCAGTGTTTACATACTGCTTGTGGATATTCATGATGCCTGTTAATTTAGTAAAGGCTCTGAGAAGACCTGAAGCAACGATGACTATTTAACTGAAAATCTGAAATTATTTGACCACAAAACCATTTATTTTATGTAACACTTATTAACATCCTGAAAAGTATATGTCCATAGAATGCACTTTGGGAAATCTATCCTGTCATTAAGAAAAGATCCATACCAAAGACTTCAGCTTCCAGTACTATGGATCACAAGGACTCTGAGCAACCCTGGCCTGCCCTCCCCAGCTCTACACACATACATTCTTTGAGGCATTGCTGGTCTCAACCAGCAGAAGAAATGTCCAGAGACACCCACAACCCCCACCAAAAGCAAATAAACAAGTGAGAGCTACTGGCCTCTAATAGGAGGAATTAACAGACAGTCAGAGCCTGGCTTTAAAGACCTGGACCCAGAGCAGAAATTCATGGGATGTGGAACCAGAGAAATCAGGAACTAGGGTCAGAACAAGAACAGTAAAGCGGCACAAAGTCAGAGTGACAGGGAGCAAGCCTGTATCCATAGGCAGTAGGAAGGAGCAGTACTGTCACAGGAATGAAATCCTACAGCCAAAAGGTTGAGGGGATATAGAACTTCAGAATAGCAACAGGAGGAGAAGCTAATTCTCAGACTTCTGTTCTGAACCAACACTCAAGGGAGGTTAGTGTGGTCCTTGGATGTGGTGTACTATGGTAAGGAGCAAAACCTTTCTTGAGGAAGGCTTTCCCCAAGTTAGGCCTGCAGGGCTCCACTGATCAAATCCTACATGAACTCACAAAGAATATGAAACATACAAGATAGCAAAGAAATACAAGTAATATACAGCAGAAACAACAAATGGCAGATTTAGACCCATAAGAATCGCAGATATAGATTCATTAGAACAGAATACAGAGCACAGTTATGAGTAAACTATTTACAAAATAAAAAAGATGAATAGAAACAAAGTAAAACTCATGAACCATGAGAGACGATGGACTCTGAAAAACAAACTGAGTGTTCTAGAGGGGAGGCAGGTGGGAGGATGGGTTAGCCTGGTGATGGGTATTAAAGAGGGCACGTTCTGCATGGAGCACTGGGTGTTATGCACAAACAATGAATCATGGAACACTACATCAAAAACTAATGATGTAATATATGGTGATTAACATAACAATAAAAAATTAAAAAAAGAAACAAAGTAAAACAGTAGGAAAATATACAAATACATCAATAATCACAATAAATTGGTAAAATTGTAAAAAAAAATTGCTAAGTTTGAAAAATAAATGAATAAGCTATGCTTTGTTTATAACACACATCTAAATCATAAGGACCGAGAAAGGTTAAAAGGGATAGAAGAAAATATTAGGCAAATATTAAAAGAAAGTTGATGCTGCCATATCAATTCCAGAAGATAGACTAAGATTAAAAATTGTATTAGTGCTAGAGCTGCTCATAATATGATAGGTTTAATTCATCAGGAAGATAAATCAATTTTAAACATGTATGCATCTAATAAAATGGTCTCAAAATATATAGTTAAAATATAGTTAAAATTGAACTACAGTGAGAATTAGATACAAAAGTTTTAAACAATAACCTTGACTTAATAGACATTTATAAAATTCTATGTATATATAGAACATTTACACATAGTTCAGGATTTAGGTTGCAAAGCAACTCCAAAAATTTCAAAGAATGGGTATTACATAATCATGTTTTTTTAAACACAATACAAATAAGTTTGAATATTAAAAATTACAAAATAAAACATTTCCAAATATTTGGAAATTGAAAAACAACCTTCTAAATAACTTATATGTCAAAAATGTCAAAACAGAAAATGTTAATAAATATTTAAGATATAATGAAAACAGTACATGTAAAATTTTTAAGATATAATGCAAGGAGAGCTTTGAGGGAAATTTATAGCTTTTAATACCTCAATTAGAAAAGAAAAAAATGATTTGAAAACTAATGAGTTTAGTGTCATATTTATGAATTTAGAAAAAGTGCTACAAAATAAAGTCAGGAGAACTACAAATCAAAGGCAAAAATTGGTTCTTTGAAAAGACTGAAAAATTGGATAAACTTCTATTAAGATTAAACAATAAATATGGTGAAAGAAAAAGACAACATAACAGATAAACCACAGATGCATTAAAAAATTAGCAATAGCTTAATGACAATAAATTTGAAAATCTAGATGAAAGAGGTAATTCTTAAAAATATAGTTTATTATAACAAAAATATATAATAACAATAATATAATAAAAACATAGTTCACCAAAACATAATTAAAGATATAATTGAATAATCTTACAACTGTAAGAAATCAAAGTAATAGTTAAAAATATTTCCACAAAGACAGTTTATAGGCAAACTCTACCAAAATTTCAAGGAACACATCATTTCTATGATACACAAACTCCTCCAAAGAAAAAAAAAAGGAGGTTATATTTATCAACTCATTCAATGAAACTAGAATAACTTTGTTACCAAAAACAAAGCACAAGAAAGAAAAATTACAGCCATTTTATAACCGATGAATTGGCAAAGTTGAGACAATATGAATCACCAAGATTTCTTTCACATCGCTGTTTAGAGAGTAAATACATACACCATTTTGGAAAACAATTTAGCATAATCTTATAAAGTTGAATATTTCCATTCTCATGACAGAGTAATTCTAAACTCAAAAGAAATTCTCACCCACATGTACCAGGAAACATGTACATGTGTAAGAATATGTATACAGAACTACTTGCTATAGCAAAACAAAAAATAAAACAAAAATAGAAACAACCTAAACATTTATCAACAGTAAAATGTAAACAGTAAAACAGTAAATTTTGGCACACTCACACAGTGATACATGACACCGCAGTGAAAATGAATAAATTATAGATTTTTGCAATAACATGCATTAATCTTATTAACATGATACTGAGTAAGAAAAGCAAGTCCCAATGTGACAGGTGTTTTATATAAAAGTTCAAAAACAAGCAAAACTAAATAATATATTGTTTGGACTTATATATATATGTATATATATATGCTAAAATTTTTAAATTAAAAATAAAAAGGGAACAATAAACATAAAACTGGGTGTGCAAGAAAGGAGGAGCACATAGGTAGACACAAATGTCTATTATTAATAGTGTGAGTGAACAGATATTATATATTAAAATAATAAGTAATAAGAGGACATACATGGACGAATGATGATAGCGTACATGAAAGAATGATTATGACAAACACAAATCTGTATAGCTGAGATCTACTTTAAAAAAGAGAGAAACCAACTCACTCCATCCCTAGAAAATCATCTATGTTCAACCCACTCTAGAAAGGACATAATTGATCCATGTGAAAAGAACAGGATACTTGGTCCTGAGTCACAGTGAGCAAAGTCACATTGTTACTAAAATTTAGTCACACCCAAGCAAAAATCAGCTCTCTAGTGGGAGAAGTCAGCTGCCAAAACAAACCCACCCAACAGGCAAGAGAATGAGAAAAGAAAAAGAAAAAGATTCTGGAGATCCTTCAAGCATATTCTGAAATAATTATTTCCAAACAAAATTTGACAGTTGTTTACATTCTCTCTAAAAACTTTATTTCAATGTACTTCAATTCTATGGACTCTTTGAATAGGAAAGACTCGGCACTGTACAAAAGAAAGCATTTAATACCTCGTGGCCACCCACTTTTGAAAATTTGCCTAAAAAAGGAGTTTTCAAGGCACAATGAAATTGTAAAAGTTAAAAATAACAAATGTAGAGGGTTTCTTATACTTTTCTGGAACCATAATTTCCTTTTCCTGTAGGTGAAAAATTGTCTTTAAGAGTGGGAAATTTCCCTCCCGAAGATACTGAAAGTTTTTAATTCTGATAATGGGCAACAAATGTTCTTAAGAAGTTACAGACTAATCCATACCACCATCACTAAACGTTGGATCCTAAGGGCAGACAAGGCCAACTGAGAGGGAAAGAGAGCTGTGTTCATTCACATTATCGCCCATGAATGTAGAAGCAGTCCTGTGGCATATGTACCATATACTCCCAATTCCTTGGCCTGCCTACATTGGCTTAGAGAAGCTGAGTTTGAAACATTTCAGTGCACGATGAAGAGCTGCTAATTAACGTTGCTTAAGCAACTCTCCTACAACAACAGACAACTCCGTTTGATCTTGGTATTATTCTACTCCAGTGATGCTGGGGAGAACATTACTATTAGCACAGAGGGCTTACGTTAGTAGTAAAAATCATGATCACCATCATTATCATCATCATCATCATCATCTAACACAGTAGTGAGTGCTTAATCTGGCAAACACTGTGTTAAGTTC